AGCGAGCTAAAAAGATCGCGGCCGACCCCTCCCACCCTGGACAAAAACTGTTTGTGCCCCTTCCATCTGGCAGGAGGCTGAGGTCCATCAGGACTAAGACCTCCCGCCACACCAACAGTTTCTTCCCGTCGGCAGTCGGGCTCATCAACAGAGCCCGGTCCCCCACTGCCTGACTATAACACTCCACCGGTCACTCCCCCTCATACTGCACATGCCACTTTAACTGCAATTCATCACTTTGTCACTTGTCACTTTGTCTCTTGTCTGTTACTTGTTCGTTAGTGCACTTTATGCTTAATACTTTTCTTTTTAACTTTTTAATATTTAAAATTTGTTTAACTTTATTCCCTTGTTTTTTTACTAACCCATAGCCTTAGCCTTATTCTTACTAACCCATTGCATTAGCATTTCATTCCACTTTATTTTATTACCTGTGCACTGTTGTCTTGTCTGTCTACTGTCGCGCACTAACCGCCAAGACAAATTCCTTGTATGTTTGACATATTTTGGCCAATAAATGTTTCCTGATTCCTGATTCCTGATAACTTGTCTGAACATGAAGTATAAACGATGTATAAAACCGTCACAGCGTCGAGCTCTAAGTGTGAAAGTGACTTTTCACTAATAACTACAGACGAGCTGCCGTTGAGCGTGCAGCGGCTCGCGGTAACGTGAGACGCTCTTGGCTCGTTTGTTACAAATGTGTGTTGGTACATTGATGTTCATAAAAACAGTACATGGAGCCAGGGGGGGTTCAGGTGAGAGTCTGGCTCAGGGGCTGTACGGGGTTGGGGGGGGGGGGGATAACGGAGTTAACGTTATTACTAAGACCAGTTTGTTCTATCGTCTTATGTGTATTTAAAAACACGACATCCGTTACCAACGTCACGTCACTTTAGCGATTTCATAAACCAAGATGTTATATATTATATTACAACATTTCTATTGGTAGATAATCAGGTGAATTCTATTACTTAACGTTACATTTAAAAGTGAACTCTTCCGCGCTGTCGGATCAGCCGCCACCGCCCTGAGTGAATTAAATGCAGAAGGATAAGGATCGATCCGATGTGTCTCCTGGAGGGCCGCGGCCCTCGGCCGCGTTCGGGGGAGCCGACAGATTGGGACGGCGGAAGTGACGTGTGTGGTCGACGAATGCGTCCTTAAGGAAGAGATTGTAGTTTGTGCCACGCCTCCCTGCACGCCGCTGACTCACTCGACAGGTTTGATTTGTATTTTGCCTGTAGCGCTATAAAACGTCAGCCGGCGACGGGGTCCAAACTGATCCAACCCCTTGTAGATGTGAACCACCAACTAAAGAGACATAAGGGTGTTAATAAAAACAATCAGAGCGCTGTTGTGAGCTCGATGGTCACAGTGAGCAGGTGATTCACAGCTGGTTCACTCGGATGTCTGAGCTTCACATTCGTAGATCTGTCTGTAGTGAGGAATTATGTACAAATATGGCATTCTGCTTCCTAACCAGCACCTGTTACAATACTTGGGCGTTTCCCAGTGTTCCCAGGGGGGAAAAAAACTGATTGAGTGCAAGAATGTGTCAACTCACACTGTGACTATACAGGACCACTGAAGGACACACTTTCTGTCCCTTAAGGCAGGGATTCCCAAAGTGTGGTGCGCGAGAGGAAAAATATAATAGCGGTCAGTTTTTTTAAGTGGGATTTTTCCATTGACATATATAAAATGATTTTTCCATACAATAAAAAAGCATGAAAGTAAGTAAACATTTCCTTTGTGCGTTGGCTGTCCCGCGGCAAAGTGCTGACAAGGCTCTTTGAACTCTGGCACGAATTGCAGCGGTTCTTTGAGGAGAATCCGTTTCATTTGGCCTCCAGTATGCATGACAAAGATTTTCTGAAAAGGCTCGCCTATGTAGCGGACATCTTCTCAGCTCTGAAGGAACTCAATCTAAGTCTAAGCTGAGCGACTTTTGCGCTAGACTTGAAAAGTTCCAGATGGATCCTCTTTTATAGTCTTTTAATTTATTTCATGTTTGAGCCGCTTTGTTACTTAATTATGTTGTGGATCGTGTGTAGGCTAATTTTATTGTCGCACTTGTCGTTTTTATTTATTTAATCTATTTCGGAGCCTTTTCTTTTTAATGTTGTGGATCGTTTGTAATTCATTGCAGTTTAATTCAGCCTGTGTTGATGTTGTTATTGTCATGCGTGTTGTGGTTATTTCCGCATGTTTAAACATGAGTCTCTATATGACGATAAAACAAAGTTTTGTTGCGTGAATTGGGGGTGCGCCAACCCGGTTGGGACATGGAAGGGGGTGCGCAGGAAAAAAAGTTTGGGAACCGCTGCCTTAAGGTAACATCAACAGCTTTAAGACACATTTATTGGTGTGAAAAGTGGCGGAATAATTAAAGTCTGTCATTCATGTTAATGTCTTTCATTCAGTATTTCCTGCAGGCTGAAGCTCCAGTCAATCATTATTATCTTTTAGAGCTGTGGTTTCATTTGTTTGCACAGTCAGAGCGTTTGTGTAACGTCAAACACTTCATTTATTGGTCTGAAGCTTACTGTAACTAAACCTTAATACAAACTGGAAGACAAAACTCCCGTTACAGCTCAGCAGTGCTGACGGTGGGTTTGTAAATGTAAGTCTCTCCTTCCACTGAACCATCAAGGGAGAGCAAACAGAGGAATGTCTGCCAACAAACCCCCGTGAGGCGTGAGGAGCGACCTATAATTCAACTACTCTGTGGTAAATAACACCCCAACAGCACGATTCATACAGTGTCGGCCCACTCTAAAGGAAATAGATTGATGTAATATCAACCGTGAAAACTTGTCACTTAGCGATGCGCTTCAACACAAGGGAAACGCCCCCGGGGTACAATCCAACAAACACACTCATTACATTACATGTCATTTAGCTGACGCTTTTATCCAAAGCGACTCACACTAAGTGCATCCAGCCATCCACAAACCACAGACCACAGAGCAGAAAGTCACACAGTATCTGCGGTTACATTCCCCAACTAACGTCTAGGGAAGGCAGGCAATAACAATGAAAATAAACCACGAGAGAAGGACGCATTTATACGCAAAGGGGATTTATTAACAATGAATCTAAACATCCACATCAGGAAAAGGGAAAAACCACATCCATATGCTGAGGTATCCACAAGCTACCAGAGTAGTACTACTACTGCTACTACGGTAGACAGGTTTATCCAGGTCACTGAACCAAGAATACGAGGTTCAAAAGGTACAACACAGAAGCATTACAATCCACGAAACCCACATGTAAGCAAACCTCAAGTGATATCTAAATGTGTCAGCACCGGATATCTGCTTCAGGTGCAGCGTCACCCTTCAGCATTGAATGTTAGTGCCTTAACGGACACGTGATGGATTAAAAAGCCATTCTGTGGTACAAAGACGAGGGTTTTGTTGGGGTTTTAAGTAGAAGTGAATGTCTAGTCATAGAATTAGTAGTACGTGTAATGATGTTTAGTGATAGAATTGTAGTTTGTGTGATGTTTGATTAGTTATTACATTAACATGTTAGATGAAGTGAATACAATGTGAATCAAACACAATTCATAGTCATTTAAATCATATAAACACTGTAACATTAACATTCTGTCATAATGTGATGTTAAAACCTGGGGACGGATGCCAATTGCCGTTCTTTATGGATTTCTCCCAATTTTATCCCCAAAAAGGGTTTTTTGGGAGTTTTTTCTCCTGTCAGGTAATAAAATGAACAACTTATTTCAAGGCAGCCGACTGAGGCAAATGTCTTGAGAATTGAACCACATGAACTGTTTTAGATCTTATGATGAAGTGTGATGAACGGTGATCATTAGTGATGGGTTGTTGTAATGAAAGTGTACTAGTTATAAGATGAAGACTTAAACGATGTATGCTTTGTTGGGTTCACTCATTGAGGCATAAAGCCACTTTATCAGTATTGAGTGCATTGGAGTGTGAGGGACAGATGGTCAGAGAGGTTTCAGGTTACGGCTGCAGCTTCACACCTCGACGTGGAAGGGACAATGGAGGAGGTGACCCTTTGGAGAAGAGGCCAATGACATTCAAATGCACCAAAGAAGACACACCTCAAGAGTTTTCAAAGGACCAAAGCGGGGAAAGGACTGTGAGATCTTCTCCTGCAGCCGCGTTGATAAGTCACTTTGGACTTGCTCAGGGAATTCTCTATTTCGCGAAATATTCCACTGTTCGCTTAGTATTTCACTTTGTAATTGTAATCCCTATTATGTTGTTTAGTCATTAAATACTTTTTGATTTTTGAATTTAAACGATTTGACTCATTCGTGTCCTCGTCTCGGCCGGGACGAGAACAAAGGATTGAGGCCTCCCTCGAGAGCTTCCGAAACCTTAACAGTTTCAATGTGTCATAATTATGAAACCACTTGCAAATAGATTAACATCCATGCTACCAACACTGACAAGTGAAAGTGCGTTACTGCAGTGAAACTGTGAACCGCAGACCACAAATCCACCCCACGGTTGTCAAAGCCTCTTACCAGATTACTTACTCATCCCACGACTTAACCGACAATATGAGACCAAAGTCTGTTGCTTTAAGGAAAAATCATTTCCAATAGAAAGTGAGCTGATAGCACCCAGGAGATCAGGTATGGGAGTCAAAAGCAAAGAAGAACGGGAAGCTGCCCGGACACAAAGGTAAAACCAGGAGAAGCATTAACTGAGATCTTTGATCACGCCTGAGCGTCACATTTCTCACCAGATATCGATCTTCAGCCCGTTGGAGACCAGGAACTGTATCGTGTCCACGTGGCCACACAGGTGGAGCGCCGTATTTCCCTGATAGTCAGTCGCCAACAGATCGGCCCCGAACTTGTGCAGCAGGCGGCATATGTCCACGTTCCCCCGGGCGGCGGCTAGGTGCAGGCCGGTGCGGCCCCGGTTGTCGCGGATGTTGGGGTCGCAGCCCGTCTCCAGGAGCCGCTTGGCGAAAGGCAGGTCTCCATCGATGCAGGCCTGCAGCAGGGGCACGTTGGTCTGCGACGAGTCGTTGATGAAGACATAGGACATGTCCGAGTGGGTGTCAGAAAATTCCAGCGTACCTGCAGGATCAAAGAGAGGGGCCGCAATTTATTGAGATACACCACGGTTATTACCACTGAATAGTGTCACGTGTCTTATCTGTCTATCGCTTATGGCCAGGTGTGTTTTATGCATCTGCATCTTTATGCATGCTCGGCGTAGCGGCGCTCGAGGGAATTGAATTGAAATCCTGTGATGGGAGGGTTTGTTTGAATCGAGGTGACAGCCGACTGACTCTTGAGTTGAAAAAAACAGGAAATACATTTTTGAAGACAAAGGTTGTGACGCTAAAGATTTCTTATAGCGGCAAAGCAGGTTGTACCTGTGGTTTGGCTTCTCTTAAAAGTATTCAGTCTAGAAATGGGGTTTAACAGGTGTCCAGATGGGCGTCTATCCATCACGTATAATTATACCAAACAAAACAAAACTATAAAATGAAAAAAACACGCTGTTAAACGTCTCCTTTCACTAGAAAGCAGAGTGAACCGTGAATCTGATCTCCAGCTGCTGCTGCTGGACATCCGGGCATTCCCGCAGTTGTAACGCAGCTCATTTTCCTGGGTTGCCCGTTTGGCAAGCAGGACACACACAAGCCCTCACGTTGTGGTCTGCGTTATCTTTTGTTAACTTCAAGCTGATGAAATACTGCGACTTGTGATTCACGTCTAGCAGTGATGTCACGCACTACTGTACATTAACGTTAGTTACCAGCAGACAGTCCTTACATATTAACGTTACCATGCAGGTTATTACGTTATTGAAGGGAGCCTCTTTAACCACGTCATACACCCTACCATGTACACCCCTAAATGTCTGTTATGTCCAGAAGAACTGACGGAAACATCAGAAGAATCCACTTCCTGCCAGTAAAAAGCCGACATTAACACGATGAAACTCACGGGGGCTAGTTTATGTTATAGCTAGCTAACTGTAGCCTCAACTAGCTTTCAGTGATAAAGATGGAAACGACGCCTAAATCACGATTACACATCGATACTTGTGACGTATCCGCCTCTTTGCATACAGCGATTCGACAAATTGTACCAAAAATAAGCCGTTGTCAGTTGATAACTTTGACAGCCATCGTACAGAAGCTAGCGGGGCTAATGTTAGCTAGCAGGCTGACGTTTTCCACGTAGCTAAAACCGATTAACGCGCAATTTAATAATCGTAGAACCTGCACACGAACTAAACAAGTACTTAAGGAGGTTATCTGACCGGCAGCTGTGTGACTCACCTGTTGATATGTTCCCAATTAGTAGAAAAAAATAAGTTCGCTCTTCTTCGAGCTAACGCTACTAGCTAGCCGTGTTGTTGTGGCGTTGAGCTTCTTCTGTTTACAGAACCAGCAGCGCGGTGTCTGTCGCCCCCTGGCGGCCTGGACGCGTCATAACACGCTATTTAATTTAATTTTAACCACATTTTAAACTGGGTTCCTACTGTGTTTATAAGATTTAACCTTCAGGCAACCAGCTTTATAATTATACATTTGATCACTTCTGTCGACAGTTGTATATATCTACTTTGCAAATATTGTAGTAACATTGATTGCATTCCCAAAACCTTTTTTGATTTTATGTGAATGTTTGTATTTCTATACAAATTGTGGTTCAACAAATCCTGATGGACAGAAATGAACCCCCGCCCACACCAAATTAACTCTTTCACACCACAGCAGCCTTTCAATGTATCCTGGACAAAAGGATGCGCACTCATTGGACTTTTAGTTTTTCATTTCCAGTGCCATGCTGGTAACACAACATTAGATCTAATGTTGTGTTACCAGCATGGTAGTCACAGCCTTTTTCACATCTAGGATGCCTAATTAAGAAGAGCTGCTTGGTTTTACAACAGAGCAATAAAACATGCTAAATGTTACCTATACACTGACCACAGAACATTACAACCGGTCACATGAAAAAAAATCAACGCTGAATATTCTCAGTTAGTTCAGAGAGTTTATTTCAACTTGTGTGCGCACGGAAATACACGTAACAGTAACAGACACGTTGTTAATGTTGTATTGTTATGGATCCTCTTTGAGGAAAACTGCATTTCTTTTCTGTCCCTCTGCTGCTCAAAACATTTCAACTCTTTTCAGCGCTTTCTGAAAACAATGCATGGACCAAACGGACAATAAAAACGGTCACTGCGTCTGTTAAATCATCAGTGGCGAATATATTTTTCATATAAAAACATAATCCTTAAGGCATTTGTTTTTTTTCCCAATAATATTTAATGTACACGTCGTTGTCTTCCCATTCCCCCCCATCTCTAAAGTAAATAAAACCAGGGGATAGTATCATGATTTAAGTCAAATAATTACAAACTAGATTACAAAACCACAAAAAGGCTGACGGCGAACAAGAGTAGAATGAAATGCAAGAAGTAGAACGCGGCGCAGCAGTAGAATCGGCTACGGGCAGAAGGACAGTGGTCATAGTGGTTACAAGTCACACAGGAGCTTTCCATTCGCATCGCGCACCAACGTCAACCCCCGAAACGCGCTGAATAACATGAATAACACGAATAACATGTCGTAAAAGTGGAAAAAAAACGACATTTATAGAGAGGAAATAAGCGACGGCTTCCTATTTCTTACCCAAGGACAGAAAAGATCCATGGACTGTGAAAATAAAACAAAGAGACTTCTGCTCAAACATACTTTGGTGGGCGAACACAGTAAGCATTATATACAGCGATGAGGAACAGCCTGTCAGAGTGTGTGTGTGTGTGTGTGCGTGTGTGTGTTTCCTGCCCTCTGAAGGAGGTTTGGTCACAAAATAAAGATGAAAGTCTGATAAGGTGGAGAGTAAATACGCCCCTTGATTTGGTTTATTGCTGTAACGCATTTGAGTTCACATCAGTGCAATATATATATGTATGTGTGTGTATATATATATATGTGTATAAATGAATATGAATGTGTATTAATGACGCAGAGACTCTGAGCCAGTCGAGAGAAAAGAGCGTTTCTTTACCTTTTAATGTGTAATATTTTCAAATTTTGTTGTAGCACCATAGAGTCCAAAATCAAGAGTCAACCTAAACTTGGATTATTTTGTCGGTAATATTATCTAGAAGCCTGAAAATATATTTGTGTGGTTAGAAAGTCAAATCAAAGGAGCAGTAATGAAAACAATTCAATAAGAAAGCTGTTTTTTTTTTTGTTCTTAAAAGATTTCACTCTATAACTTCCTCTTATTCCTGTCTGATATTTTTCAACGTAAATGAGGTAAATACTGTACAGTTTGGAGAATGTTGCACTCTAACAGCCGGTTAGTCTCCGCGTGACGTCGCAGGCAACGCAGAGGAAGCAACGTTTTGTGACGAGTCTGAAGTCAAGACCTCCGATTCAACCGACGCCCTCGGGAAGCAGACCAGAGCGAACCGCCGGGACACAACATACAGTTACAGACACTTAACACAATAGCACCATTGTCAGTGATAATCTAGAGAAGAGCGAGGGCGCTCTTTCTGTTTCCTCGTTCACTCCATGTTTTTTCTTTTCCATCAACAAGCCACTCATTCCTAAAAAGGGGAATCAAAAACTCTGAAAAGCCGCTTGACGCCGTTCGACTCGTCTCTCGAGAGGAGCGCGGCTCATTTTCAGTCAGTCACGTCTTCTTTTTCTAGATTTCTTTGTGAATCATCTCCTCCTCCCATCATCAGCACCGCTCTCTCTTTTTTTTTTTATTTTTACATGCCACCTCAATCTCCCTCCTCCTCCTCGCTCTCCTCCTCCTCCTCCTCCTCCTCCTACAGGACCTTGCTGCAGACCTGGCAGCGGCTGACTCGGGAGCGCTCCTGGCCTCCCTTCAGGGTCTCCTGCGCCGGCGCGTAGACGAACTCCTGGCTGGGCTCCACGGTGGTCAGCCAGAAGCTGTACTCGTTGGCGAAGTAGTGGCAGCTGCCCTTGGCGCCGTTGCACTCGATGAACGGCGTCGCGCGGAAGTCCTCCAGGCAGGAGCCGGGGGACACCAGGGACTGGCCGCCGCCCTCGGCGCCGGCCGCCGTGTGCTGCGCGGGACAGGGGGGGGGGGGGGCGGTTACTCATTCGGCAACGTGCATTGCAAAATTGTGACATCTCTAAGCACATCGAGTGTTAGTTTCGCAACGGGAAATCGGTCTGGGCCGCGTACCATGAGGAAGGAGTAACCTATCCAGAGACTCCTCCAGCCGGGGGGACAGGTGGGGATGGTCATGTCCTGGCTGTGCACCGCCACGGGCAGGGACGGGGCCTCGCACACGGAACACCTGCGCCGGGGGAGAAAAAGAGAGATCAGACGGCAGCCGGCGGGGGGGGGTTTGGTGGGTCGCCCGGCGGTCCCGCGGTGGCGCTACCTGCTGATGTACGGCTGTATCTGCTGCTCGGCCACAGGCATCATGGGTATGGGCGCGGTCGTGGAGAGCCAGTAGGACTTGTCGTTGCGGCTGGCGTAGTAGCAGATCTCGTTGGGCGAGCAGTAGAGGAAGGGGATGGTGCTGAACCGCGGGAGGCACGAGCCCGGCTGACCTGGAGACACAAAGGGGGAGGGAGACGCTTTGTGAGAGACGTCTCTCCAGTTCGCGGCTTTCTCGGGGTGCGTCCGAGGCGTCGCGTCCTCCGCCGTACCGAGGTCCTGGTTGTGCGCCTTCTCCTGTCCCTCCACGAAGAGCAGGCTGTATCCGTCCCACAGCTGGGCCATGCCCTGGGGACACATGGGCACCTGGGAGCTCTGGCTGTGCTTCACCAGCGTGTAGCCGATGCTGCTGCTGCGGCCCACGCCGCCGGGGGCGCCGGGCCGGCCGGCCGCGCCGGTGGCACCTGGAGGAGGAGAACCGGGGGGGAGGAGTTAGTGTTTCCAGGGAGACGAGAGAACAGCAGTTAAAGTTTGCATTTTTTGTGTCATTTTAATGTTTTAGCTTCAGTTGTCTGAATTCAAACAGGAGTGTAATCGAGTATCAAAATAAAAATACATTTTGATACATTTAAAAACTTTATCCCGCCACTGAAGCATCAAAGGCATCCTTGCTTTATCCTCCACAACATTTTAGAGATCTGGAGATGTTCTCTTAGATACGTCAAAATATTATTTTATGAATGTATCATATAATATAATTAATATAATGATTTAATATAATAGTCTTTCCTTCTTTGATTGATCACAATCGTAAGTACTACCTCTAAGATATATTAGGTAATAATCAATTAATTCTTTTTGACCAACTTTAAAGGGAAAACGTGTCTCAGAATCTGAACCTGACACGGACACACAGGGAGTGAAAACTGCTGACCTTGCTCTCCAGTGGGTCCGAGGAAACCGGGGGGTCCGGCGTCGCCGATGGGTCCGGGAAAGCCAGGAGATCCGGTCCTGCCAAGTTTACCCACGGGACCGGGTCGACCCTTAGGACCTGCAGCAGCAACAGTCCGCACATGCTCGTGTTTGTCACTCACACCCGTTGCACACACGCACACTTACTCGCACAGAGGTCCGTGTAGCCAGGGTACAAGCACTGGAGGTCAAAAGCTTAACGCCAACAGGTCAGAGGTCATTTGAAAGGAAGCGTGTCTCTGCTCACCTGCGCGTCCAGGCTGCCCCGACTGACCGGGCGGTCCGGCAGCCCCGGGCCCACCCACTGCACCGGGGAAACCCGTGTCTCCGTAGAGTTCCGAGGGTGGGTCTATCGGCGGAATGAAGACCCCCGCGTCGCCCTTCCTACCCTGGCGGCCTGGAGGGTGACGGAGACAGAGGCGAGGGGGGGGGGGGGGGGGGTAGGGGAGGGGACAGGTGAGAGGTGTGCAGGGTAAATACAGCATGTGTGCGCAGGAGTACCATCACCATCCACTTCGCCTACCTGGTAATCCCCTAGCTCCTTTGTTTCCATAGTAACCAGGGTCACCGGCGTAACCCTTGACACCAGGATTGCCGCCGTAGCCGCTGTCCCCTCGTCCTCCTGTAAGAGCAGAGCTTTAGTGTTTGGCCTCTTTTTTAAACATTCTCCCATTATCGGACGTTTGGTAACAGCCCCTCACCTTTGAAACCGGGGCTGCCGGGCAGGCCGGGGCCTCCGGGGATGGCCGCGTCGCCTTTCCTGCCGGGGGAGCCGGGGAAGCCCGGGAGCCCGGGGTCACCGCGGTCTCCCTGTGCCGTGCCTGGACCAGGTGGGCCGGGGGGGCCCGGAGGTCCCATGAGTCCTGGAGGAGACCGGAGGAGTGGGAAGAGAAGGAAAGGAAATGTCAAAAAGGAAAAGGAAATTAGGTGGAGGAAAGGACACGAGGACCGAGGAAAGGTGTTTACCATACTCTCCATCCAGTCCAGGGAGGCCGGGGTCTCCAGAAGGCCCGGGAATATTTGAGCCCACGGTGACGCCAGAAGGTCCGGGCAGGCCGGGGAACCCTACGAGTCCAGGACGGCCTGGCACACCGAAAACAGAGCGGTCACCACTTCGACATCCCGTCGCGCCCTCAGGGAGCTTTTTCAGACTTCCTTCATCTCACCTGAGTCTCCTCTCTCTCCCTTCGGTCCGGGGAAGCCTGGGTTCCCTGGATAGGTGATGCCTCTCTCCCCCTTGAAGCCTGGAGCGCCGGGTTCTCCGGGGCGACCTCCTACATTCACGCCTGGGTGCCGAATGCAACAAAACCTTCAATGGCAGTTGGGCTTCAACATCTGGAACACGGACTAATGCGCTGAATCTATATTCTACTGAATCTACTCACTTTATCGCAGGGTTGTTTAGTTTTTGACATTTTTTATGTTTTTGACTTAAATTTTTTTCAAAACATTTTTGAACTTCATTTGTTTTTCTAGACGTGACATTTTTCAATCTAACATATTTAGAATATTTTTCAAGAAATATTTTTTTTAAATTTTATTTATAAATTCATATTTGTTGCCACTTGACAAAAATTTGTTTTGCCTCATTTCTTTATGCACGATTGTCTGTGGCTAATCTCTGAATTTTTTCAATAACAGTTTCAATACCAATCTGACCTCTGACCCCCACTGCAGAGCCACTTAGCCTCTATAAAACGCATTTGACAGGAAATAGAAGCCTGATGTGTGAACTGTTAGCGCTGTTGTTTGGTAGTACTGAGGCTCAGCTAGAGACTCCTCTTCTGTCTGACTCTTAAACGCTGTCGTAACTGCTGAGGAGTCAGGATCCGGGTACCGAAGGGGGTCTACAGGCTACAAGCTTTTAGGCTTGTGCTACATCCTCGGTCGCTATGGAAACAGACTCGACCAGCTGATCAGCGTTCGTCGGCTTTGTTTGAACTTTGTTCCACATAAACTGGGCAGAAGGTGGAAGGACGGGCAGAAGGTGGCCCCCGATGTGTGCAAAGAGGTCCTTGCCTCGGGTTCCGGGGAGGCCTTTGGGTCCAGCGAGGCCGTTGAGTCCGTCCAAACCGGGGGGTCCGGGCAAACCTGTAAAAAAAAGCCCCACAGTGTTAGTCTGCGGAACAAGCGGAACATGTTTTTTCTTCGCCGTTTCGACTCTCTTCACCGGGACACAGGAAGTGTCTCTCACCTTTGGATCCGGGACCTCCGGGACCGCCGGGCAGACCGGGAGACCCGTTCACTCCCGACTCTCCCGGGTAGCCGGACTGGCCCTTGGGCCCGGGGAAACCGGGGGAGCCTGCGGAGGAGACGAGGGGAAAGCGTTACTATCCGAGTGTCTGACTCCTGGAGGGAAAACGAAGCGGCCTCGGCTCACCAGTTATTCCCGGACGCCCTCCTTCGCCGGGACCTCCCTTCGTTCCAGGGAAACCGGGACCTCCCGGAAAGCCGCTGTCGCCGGGGGCGCCGTCGCTGCCGCGCCCCCCTGAGGAGAGACCGTCAGACGTGGTCATTCTAGAGCAAACGCGCTAACATTCGGGGATGGCGTGCTCGTGGGGAGTCTTACCTGGGAAGCCTGGATCTCCGGGCTGGCCTTTAGCCCCCGGACTTCCGGGATAGCCGTAGCTTTCTCCGGGTGCACCTGGAGAACAAAACGCGTCCAAATCAGAGGCTGAATCCATGTATTCGTAAATGACAGCTATTGTTTTTACACTCGCCTTTTCCACCGGGACGGCCGAATTCTCCGGGGTTGCCGGGGAAACCAGGTGAACCGTCGTCACCCTGAAAGGAGCCGTCAGAACTTGAGTCTCGCCAGTTGACTTTGGCGCATGTTTGCATTTTGTGATGTTTATTTTTTTTCTTACCCGAGGTCCCGACATGCCGGGGAATCCCATGATCCCAGACTCTCCCTTCGGCCCCGGGCGACCGGGTTCCCCAGGTCTCCCGGGGAACCCGGGCTGTCCCGGCTGACCTTTGCTCAGCTCGGCGTAACCCGGAAGTCCGGGAAGACCCTGACGACCCGGCAGACCTGACTGGCCCTTGTCACCTGAAACCAGTGGGGGGGGAGGGGGGGGGTCACCACATGAGCGGCCTTATGCGCCACGTCAGGCGGCCTGAGTCCCGGTCGTGGATAAACAGGAAGTAGCGTTACCTCGCGGTCCGGGGAAGCCGGGAAGGCCGCTTCTTCCAGGTGTCCCTGGTTCACCTGTCACCAACTCTTGTGGATAAAAGGGACTGGGCGGACCGGGCGGACCGGGGTATCCTCTGTCACCTGGTGCAGTAAAGACACGGGGGGTTTGTTCCACCAATGAAAGAGCTCCAACACGCTCCATTCTTCTTCTACACAGCATGCTGTTTATTTGGTAAATTATTTCAGGATTTGCCCTAAAATGCTGGACTTTGTAACTTTATGACCCAAGATTCCCTTCCCTGGAGTGAAGGACTCCTGTCACATCTCCTCTTCTGGACTCTACCTTTCTGTCCTGGGAACCCCGGCGCGCCGGGGAGCCCGTCTCTTCCGGGCCCCGCGGCCTCTCCCTTCGCTCCAGGGAACCCCGGGCCTCCGGGACGACCCTGGAGTCCCGGGAAACCCGTCAGTCCCGCGGCGCCCGTCTCCCCTGCGGACAGAGACACGCAATCAGCACGCGGGGCGTCACAGCGAGGCGGCGCTGGAAGGCCGACCGTGAGGAGCAACGGGCGCTGCGGCCTACCCTTCCTGCCGGGGCTTCCTGGGAATCCGTCTCTGGTTCCCGGTCCCGGGGGGCCGGGGGGTCCCCTGGGTCCCGGTGACCCAGAGAAGCCGGGCTGTCCCAGGGTTCCCTTCATCCCAGCCGGGCCCGGGAAGCCCGGGTCTCCTCTTTCTCCCTTCCGACCAGGGAAACCTGGCGGGAGGACGGAGGATCACGGAAAGAGAGATTTAGTCAGACACGGCGCGTGATTTAATTTATCAACTGGATAAATAGATAAATAGTCAAATAAAATGAAAAAATAAATGAAATCTACACAAAACAAGGAAAAGCCAACAAATATAAACTTACCTTTGTTAAATAATAAATGAACTTACCCGTAACATGTTGTTACATTTCTGAATAAAGCAATTTATTTATTATTATTTATTATGTAAACACACACACGTTCCTTTACATTGGTTAATTGCACAGGTTAGGCTGAAATTGCACTTGGACGTATAAATGTGTGTGGGACATATGAATGTTTAAATATCATTTTTGTATCCACACTGAAATATTTTATATATATATATTAGATATTCTTTAAAATCCAAGTGTAATTCCAGACCAAATTTAGCGAGGATCAACTGCATTGTTTGTTTGTCCCAGAGGATAGCGCGCTATGCTACCGCTTAACGTCTTAAAAAGAGAACTCCCCTTCATCACATCCACACTGAATGCCACACGAAATGGTAAATGAAGTCTGGGATGAGCTGAAAATGAAAAGTCCTTTTTTTAAGGGTGAAGAAAATGCTTCTAGGCTCATTGGTGCAGCGGCTTTTTGTTAAGCAGCATTTGAATGTTGAGTTGCCACGCGAGCCTTTTAATGCGAGGAGCGACTCGAGTGCAGCTCACACTTCGAGATGCACCACAGCTACGAGGGTTAGTGCCGGCTGCGAGAATAAAATCACACTCACATTTACCGAAAACTCGGAATCTCTCACAGCTAAAAATGTCCACCTTGAGCAACAATCTAGCTCTCGATTTATCTGTTACGGCTAATAATAATAATCAAATAAAGGAATTAACTTTGTCTACAATGTAAAATAAAAATGTAAAATAAAAATAAAAATAAAAATAAAAATAAAATAAAATAAAATAAAATAAAATAAAATAAAATAAAATAAAATAAAATAAAAATAAACAAAATAAAACAATAAAACATATAATTTCCCTCCGGAAAAAAATCCCACTAACGCAACTCTGCTGCAAAAACGTAAGCAAAGTGTCCCGAAAAAACTAAACGACGATGCGGAGATGGACATTTTTTTGCTGCCCGGGTGAGAAATGGCGAGCAGGCTCACAAAGCGTCTGGTCTAGTGCACGGACAGCAGGAGGAAGGAGGGGTGAAGCAGAGCGGGGGCCGGCGGGTGGATGGGTGGGTGGGTGGTGGTGGAGAGAGTGTCTCACCTTGGCAGCCTATAACGAATGACCCAACACCAAGAAAAGGATGGAGGGATGACGAGAGGACGGATGGAGATAATGGTGATGTGGTGAAGGGAAAAGGACGGAGGAAACAAGGACACAAGGGAAATACAAAACGGGAAAAGAGGACATTCCGTTGGGTGAGGCAGAGTTCAAATGAACAATAAACAGGTGCCTGATTCGTCAATGGAGGATCGTGACAGAAACACGGTGGAAAAGGTCAAAGTGGAAGGATGAGGAGTGACAGCCGAGATCTGAACTAAGTCACGTGTTTTCCTTTTGCTACTGATCATGCAAAAAACAACTACATCACAATGAACATGTGGAGGAAACGAATGGACGGAGGCGCCGGGGCCCCTTCTCCCCTCACCTGGCAGTCCTCTCGGCCCGCTGCCGCCGGGGTTTCCGCGCGGCCCTGGAATGCCAAAACCCGGGCCGGGAAGGCCGGGGAGCCCGCCGATACCGGGGCGCCCGTCGACGCCGCGCTCTCCCTTCAGCCCCGGGAACACGAAAGCGCCCCGTCACCGCCTGAACGAGGAAAGAGAGGGCCGTTACTTTTCTTCTTCTCCCACAACCGCTGCGAGACGCCACGTGACTCCCTCCGCCTCAGACCCACCAGGTATTCCGGGACCTCCCGGCGTCCCGGGCTGGCCCTTGTCTCCGGGGATTCCGGGGAGACCGTCCTGCCCGGGGCCCCCGGGCGTGGCTCCCAGCACCTCTCCGGGCTGACCTTTGCTTCCAGGACGCCCCGGAACGCCGTTGTTGCCCCTGCCTCCGTCGACGCTCTGACCCGGAGAGCCGGGAATTCCAGGATCCCCTCTTTGCCCGGGGAAACCTGCGGAGAGGGGCGGGGGGGCACGGAGGAACCGTTAGAGGGGGACAGAGGGGGGTCACTTTAATCACACCGGGATGAGGAATAGTAGAGAGACCACTCCGGTTTACCTTGCTGTCCCGGCTGGCCTCCGAATCCCGGGTCTCCTCTCTCTCCTTTGGAGCCGTCGAAGCCGGGACGCCCCGCGTTTCCCGGGAAGCCGGGCTCCCCTTTAGCACCTGACAGGCGTCAATTATGCGGATTATTGACTTTTGATCAAATATCTGTATTCAATAGCGATTCATGTGTTATTTGCACGCGGAGCGGATAAATTACATCGCTAGGAAATAAAACCTCAATGAAGGCATTTCAGTTACGATTTGCTTCAAATAGCATTCGCTGACAGTAAGAACATAAGGGAACATAAAATAAGAAAATGCAACTGAAGGAAGCTTGGAGATCTGTGTATTTTTGTCAAAAAAAACAACAACAATTGGATAAAATGTTAAAAACCTCAGTAATAAAAGAAATGTTGGTAAAGCGCTCAGGAGGGCTGAACGGTACCTGGTCGTCCCGGTTCACCAGGAGGTCCGGGCTCTGCGGCCTCTCCGTCTATGATGCACGGCAACACTTGGCCTGGTAGCAGTCACACGCAGGTCAGTCACTTTACACACTTTGACGGACACACACAGTGGGAACTGAGGGCAGCGTTTAGCGCCGCGCTACGCTAAGCTACTCGGCGCTAAACGTAGCGCGTGTGTCTTTAACTCACGCCACCATTCGACAAAACCGTCCTCGAGTCCTCGTGAACATCCTGATTGTCTGTCGCCTCCATTAATTAAGGTTAATCCGGGTTGAATCATGGGTATTATTGTTGTTGTTGTTGTTGTGATTGTGCGCGTTGTTGGGCCGAATGCCGTTAGTGGAGAAATTCATCATCATCAAAAAAAAAACTTGAGTTATGAGTTAAACTTTGTGTTTGGGAATCAGTTCTAATGCGTCCATACATCCCCCCCTCCCGCCCCCCCATCCCAAAGCCACCTAGCAGAAGCAGGGCTTGAAAACATGCGGCAGGTTTCAGCAGCTTTGTTCGGAGGAAGAGGAGGGTGAGCGCTTTCTTTCCTTCTAGGTGGAGCGTCTCTGCAGATATTTGGAGATCCGTCCGGGAGACGTTTCCGTCTATGAGTGACTTCTAGTACCACGAACCCACTTTGTTCTTCCCCCCACTGGTGTGATTCTATTAATTTTATTTCATAGTATCAAAGCCCTGCAGCAGCGAATGAGGGACGAATTCATATGGAGGATTATGTTCATGTCTGCAGCCCCAAGAGGCTTCAAAAAGATAAAATAAGAAATAATTTGATGATCGAATGTAAGATGATGCCTCGTCGATGGTTTCCACCGAGGGCATTTTGGATCTCGCCTTGTTTTACTCCATGAATCAAAAAATTCATTCAAATATTTTGTAGTGATACGAAGTTGTATAAATCACATGAACAAGCTTCTATGAAAACCTTTAGAATATAAGTTTGGTGTTTGTTAGAGCTGCAGGGGGGGAGATTTCAACATTTTAAAGGCACTTATCTAAAACATTATCTTTAAATGTTTGAATTATCCAGTGGTAACTTTGACTGAATTTAGGATCAGACACCTAAATGTGTATTTGCTATTATTTAACTGCATAAAGGGGCACTTTTAATGTCCGTGTAATGCTAAATTCTGGCCCCCGGACTCCTTACTCTGCCTGGGGGGGGATGAAGGAGTTAGTTACCCACCCGGTCCCTCTCCGGCGTCATTAACCCCTGCACAGCTGTTTTCACCTGGACGGATACACATGCACAGGGAAGGTCAGACAGATGGAGGGATGGGTGGAGGGAGGGAGGGAGAGAGAGAGAGGGAGAGAGAGAGGCAGCATACAAAGCCAGTCAGGGTCATTTGCATGCGCAAATAAAGCAAATTCAATCTTTTCATCAAACAGATATCAGCGATCGACTCCGTCCAATCAATTCAAGGCTCATTCAGTTCATGAATGCTTGCTTCAATGTGTAAATGTTTTAGAAAACGGGTTATTGTCTGGTATTAAGAGCGGAGGTAAGCACGCATTCATTCTGGAGGCGCGGACCTCGTGTCCTTTAGTCTCAGAGGAGCCGGATTAAAGGAGGCCGCTCATCAAAAGAGGGAACAGATCCAACGCCCTTTGGGCCTCCGAGACTAAAGGAGCACGTCGAACATCGCTGTGAGTCAACAGGAGGAAGCGGTTCGCGGCTTTGAGCTGATTGGCTGCAAGAAGAAGAGTACAAGCACATTAATGGAGACCATTAATCATGGAGTTATGCGTGAAGGGAGAGAAAGTCTAGACGAGGTCGTCCCTCCGGGTGCCGCTTGGACGAGGACCCCGTTTGTCCCCCGTGTCCTCTACTGGTCTAGGATGTTAGGAGGAGGTTGCTACGGTAACTACCGAACTCTGAGGGTGGACAGCGATCGGACGGGACGGATTGTCTCGTCCGGGGGTTTCGCCCTGTGGGGAGAACGAGTCATTGCGTCCACGCACACACGCACAGGCACACGCACACACACACGCACACACACGCACACACACACACACACACTTCCTCTCCTTTTATTTCCAGTCGTTCCTTTTACCTTTTAATCCAGGTGAACCGGGTGGCCCTGGTAGCCCATCCCTACCCGGGTCCCCAGGTTCTCCGCGAAAGCCGGGCAGCCCGGCGTAGCCGATGCCGGGCTCGCCGGGGCCGCCGGGACGCCCTTTCCCCCCGGGGAACCCTGGGAAGCCCTTCTCCCCAATGGAGCCGACGCCGCCGTCGCCCTGGAGAGGCAGAGAAAAGACCTTATTTCAAGAAAACCCCCGAGAGCGACGAGAACACTCGGGGGAAGAGGGAGGGGGGGTTTCGCTCACCGGGGGGCCGGGGTTTCCGGGGAAGCCGGGCAGTCCGTCTCTGCCGGGCTTGCCGGTTTCCCCTGTGGGCCCTCTGACTCCAGGGGCTCCGAGCTCTCCCTTCAGCCCCGCGCCCCGGTTGGAGTAGAAGGGCTCCCCCTTCTCGCCTTTGCGACCATAGTAGCCGCTGTCCCCGGCGCGACCCTGCAGGGGGGGGGGACAGGACAGACGGGACGGAACCTCCCGTGAGACTCGGGCCTTACGACATACGACACGCGGCGGGGGGGGGGGGGGTCACCGTGCGCTGGAAGCGGAACTCACGGGAGGTCCCTGGGCGCCGTTGAAGCCGGGCGGCCCGCCGTCGCCGCGGTCCCCCTTCTGTCCCGCGAAGCCGGGGGTGCCGTCGAGTCCTGACCATCCGTGTGCCTAGGCTTTCCCTGCAGATGCCTTCCTCCAAAGCAAGTCACAGTGCTCGGAATCATCTGGAGGAAGAGAGAGGAGGGAGTAGAGCGAAAGACTGGAAGGAGGGGCTACGGACGCGATGAGCACGCACGCACATGTCTTGTTCACGGGGACGGCGACTCAAGCCTGGACATGTTGCTTTCCCTGACAGCGGAGGAGCCACCTGTCAATCCCATGGTAGCCCCGCCCCCCCCCCCCGCTCCCTGTGTGTGTGTGAGCGTACCTCTGAAGCCGTTGTACCCTCTTTCGCCCGGCGCTCCCCTGGAGCCAGGAGGCCCCGGCTCTCCGGGGAAATCAGGGCGGGGGTCTCCTGCAACAACAACACACACACACACACACACACTTAAATTAATTAGGTTAAATTGGTAACAACAACATACACATGGAATTGCTTTGAGATTTCACACTGTTTGAACTTGAGCTGAACTGTGGTCAATGTTTTTATGGGTATATTTAGTTTTCAGATGTTTTTCACGCACTTAAATATGGAATGTGTTGAATTGAGTGCAGCTCGGACACACAGCGTGGAATCAGGATTAGTCTCTTTGATAAGCGAGTAAATGAAAGAGCTGAGCAGCTGCTGCAAGGCGACAGATGCTTATTTAAAAAAGAAAAAAAAAAGCAGTACCTTGTTTATATCGTTGTAAAATATAAAACAGCAGTGTACTTGAACGTCTTCAGTGATTTTACACGGACCGTAATGGCCTTGAAGAGCTACTTGCCACAAGCAGCATGCAGAGGGAGTTGCAGTCTGACACCCACACAAACAGAAGGAGACAAACCGCCAACAATTCAAGGACATCTGTGATGTCGTCTCTGTGAGGAACCTGGGCCTTCATGGGGAAGACAAGCAGCAAGGGTGGAGGACGGAGGCGCTAACTCCTGTCCAGGTTTGAGCTGATTCAAGGAATCTGTGAGGCCGCCTTAAAGGGACAGTACGCAGTATTTGTCCCGTGTCTCCAGAGCAACGGCAAATAAAACAAAGAAATATGTTTTATCTCCTGTAGGTGTTTGCACTGATTACAAGCTTAAAACCTCACACGACTACACTTCAAACCATCCACACTTCCGTCCGCCCCCCAAACTATTTCAACTATTTAAAACTACTTTCATCGATATTTCCTCTTTTTGGTCTTCCTTCGTTTTACTTGTTTGTGCCGATAAGATAAATATAAAATTCACTAATCCCCGTTTTGCAGAACCACGCTCCTTGCCATGCATTGACGCCATTGTAAAACCAGTGAACAGCAGGGCGCAGCCTTGTGGCCAAAGAGGAGAGAAGCAGCCGGGAGGCGGAGGAACGGCCTCTTCTCCGCCGCACTTGCCACCGCACCCTCCACAGAGTAGAGCGAATTAAAATATTAAAAATAAGCTTTTGGCCAGTTAGAATTTACCAGCTGAAAGTTGTGATTTGTTCGTTTAATTAGGATTTCCCTTTGGCGGGCTGAATATTGCCACGGTGATTATGGCAATATGGCCGCTTTCGGGATACCTGCCTTTGGAATCGGGCCACGGGTAGTAGACGCAGGGTCCGTCGCGGGCTCCTTCGAGGAAGGTTAGATCAGTCAGCCATGATGCTTTAGTCTGTTTCTATCGTATACGTTAAGAGGTCAACCGGCCGGTAAAAGTCTAGAGGTTTTTGTTCTTGAAAACAACAACAAATTGAATCATTTTAGCTGCTGTCAATGCGAGGAATCCACATCGCGGCGCCCGGTCACAACGTTTCAAATGTTTTATTTCATGGCGACGGGCCGCTGCGATGAGCCGCCGCCCCGAGGCGCCTGTGGAGGGAGAGCGTTGTGTTAGCGCGCGAACGTACTGGAAGGGCCCGGAGGTCCGCGGGGGCCGGGCGCTCCGGGGGCTCCGGGGATGCCGGGTCTTCCTTCGGGGCCGTAGGCCGTTGGGGACGGGTCGCCCGTCTCTCCCTTCGGGCCGGAGGTCCCGGGGTAACCCGGCGGCCCGGGGCGACCTGCGGTGCGAAGAAGGATTCATTCGGGTTTGCATGTCGACGAGTAAAAACCAAACCGCCGCATCGCGGCGCACGGGAGCCCACCTGAGCCGACGCCGCCGACGCCCGGCACGCCGGGCTGCCCTTTGAATCCCGGGAAGCCCCGGTCGCCGGGGAAACCGGGCGCGCCGTTGAGACCCGGGTCGCCCGTCTGTCCTGCAGCCAATCAGAGAAGAGACGCTCAACACGGGACCCTCGCACGCGCTAAAGCGGTCCACTAGGTGAGGTAGCGCGCGCTAGGCGTTACCTTGAATGGAAGTGCCGCGGTCGGTGACGTAAGCAGGAGGTCCGGGCGCTCCGGGGTCTCCCTGGTCTCCCTGTTATCCAGGACGAAACACCACATCAGAGTTTTCTCTGAATGTAGATGGACTTAGAAGTTAATGCTTTTGTTAATCACGGGCTGTTAGTGCTAAGCTAACCGGAGCTAACTGGACGATGTCATTAGCTTCACATTGTGTTTCCCTCCACAAAATTCCTTTGAACGCATATGAACACAGACTGAGAGAGAAGATTTGAAAAACTAACACAATGATAAATATTTCAAATTTCAATTTCAAAATCACTATTTTTAGATTATAAGTAAATATTTTGATTTTTCAATACTAAGTCAATATTCTGAGCTAATAACTCTATTTGGGGAAGATTTCAGAATCAGAATGTACAACGTAAATACATATATGTGTCAATATAATGACAATAATAAAGAAGCTGACTCAAATTCCATTCAAAAACAATCATTTAAGAACCGCCGGCGCCTCCTCATGGAGAGAAAAGGCCACTGCAGGGCTCTTGACCCAAATCCACCAAAGTTCATTCTTTTCAGGTTCAAGTAGGAAGTCGACGGTGTTCATGATTGAAAAGTAAGCGAAGAACCACGGAGGAGGTAAAGGATGAGTGAGACGCTTCTTTGAGGAACGTTTTCTTTGTCTTCGTGTTGATCTTTATTGTTGATATTGTTGCTGTTAGTTAGAGACAGATGTATTTCACGCATGAAGGGGGACACAGTCCCACACATCGTGCGCAGACACACACGCTCTCGTTACCTTTACTCCGTTGTATCCTGGTGATCCCGAGAAGCCCGGAGTACTCTGAGCCCCTGACAGACAGAACAAAAGGTTTGGATGGTGGAGTCATGTGGACCACAAAGAAGCATCTGGCTGGTGTCTTGCGTTAGCAAAACG